CCACGGGCCTCTGGTGGCCATTTGCTCATCTCTTTAAGGGCAACTCTGGTTCTGGCTTTCTTTCAGAAATGAACACCCCTGTCCATTTGACCAAAAAAAATCAATCACAAGAAGACTCAGTAGCTTAATTTTAGGCGCGGAAGGGACCACAGGCGGCATCTGGTATCACTTCGTCATCTTACTCAACAAATGGCAATGCTGAGGCCTGAGCGGTGTCTGAGTAGCTCAAGACATAGAGGATGTTGCTCCTGACTTTGGGTCTGATGCACTGTGTACGAGAGCCCAATGGGAAGCCACTGCAAGTCAGCAGGATCACCTTCCCAGGCAGCAGCCGTTCTTCTAGAAAAGTCCCCCACCCACGTGTCATTGTTTCTTCAAATTTGTACCTATTTTTTCAAAATTGGGTTGTGGAGAAATCCAATGACCGTACAGCCGAATGGAAACACCTTACATAAATTGGGCCACGTATTTATAGAGTAAATAGTGTGTATTTCATTGAAAAGTTTCATAATGAAGCAACAACAAAAATCACCATTCTACTAGCCCCAGTCACTTACCTAGTATGAAAGATGAAAGTAAATATCTAAGATGAATTCTTTTCTAACGGCTCCCCCGCCCTTTTTTGGAATGGGGAAAACATGAGCCACCCTTACAGGCATCAGAAGTCAAGGGGAGGCAAGTGTTTGGAACCGTCCTGTTGTCAAAGGCTGTGACGCTAGCCTGAGTAAATTTCTAGAACAGGAAAAAAACCAGTTTGCGTCTCTATTTTTGGGAAAGCTGCAGTTTAGAGATCATGATGTCATCCGTAGGATGATGTGTTTCGATGAAATCATTGCTGGAGAAACATGAGGGTTAAAAACTATAGAAAGAGGATGTCAACTCTAGTCTGGTGCTGATGACCCAGGCTTATGCTATTAGCAAAGATTCAGTGATAAATGTTACGGATATGAAATCAAACAAATAGCTCATTATGTGGTTATGCACTAATAAGATAGAGCAGGGGGACACACATAGATGCAGGGCCCGTACTGTGTGACATTCCTTACGAGTTGCAGTGTGCTCAGTACGGTGTGCATTTTGGTTTTGTGTTATTAGGATGGTACGTGGTTTTAAGGACTGAAATGGTGTGAGTGTTATGCTTGGCGTTTCAAACAGGTTTCTCCAAACATCCTGGAGAGGACAAACGAAATGAAATAGACAAGTTTCTCCGGGCCAGGTCAGTTTCCTGGTTTAAGGTGGTAATTGCAAAGCAGTGCAGAAGGATGAGTCAGGCTGCTCTGTCATTGCTTTCTGAAGAGCTGAAAGCCCCTGCTTTTGTGCGTTAAGCTTCCCAGGGAAGTGCTGTAATAAGTCACCTGGGTTAAGTGCACTTCAAGTCAAAACGCACATTTGATCCCATTCTTTTTTTCTTTCTTTTTTTTCTCATCACAAACTCTGGTTTCAGTGGTAGGAAAGGAAGGATACATTTCCACCAGGTGCCCGGGAGTCCAATTTAGGCGATAAATTGTAAGGCCAGTGGTTAGTTAAGCTTTCATTGTGATAAGGGACGATTTTGGAGGAAACCAGTGGCCCACACGTAGCCAACCTCAAGCCATGCGTTTTCCGTAGTAACCCAGCCTTGGTCTCCTTTTCTTGGAGCCTGGGTAAACAGACGGGGTGGGGAGAGTAGGTTTACAGTCGTTCCTGTGGAAAATATCACAATCATTAATAGATAATAATACAAATATGAGCTGTGTGCTTCACGTACTCACATTTGTAAACAGACTTGTGCCCACCCCTGTATATAATATATAGTTGTCTTTAACTTACGCTCACTTTTCTTGTCTCATTGTCATATTGGCCATGAGATTTCTTAAAACACACACACACACACAGCTGAAATGACTCAGTTACAGATGAAAAGCCTGCGGGAGGCAGGGAGGGCTGCTGGACATTTACTTAAGCAAAGAGTCTGCAAACTCGTCTTCCCGAGTCAACCCTCTGGCTGGAGGCGGTCTGTGCCGTCTGGAGCTGACCCGGGGCAGGGGCAGGGGCAGGGCCAGGTCGG